TTGGAAAAGGGGGGACGCATGTTTCGGCCCCCCCCCCCCCCCCCGCGAGCACTCTTGGCGACCAAGACTGCGAATGCCACATGCGTTAACCCCGGGACCACCACCAAAATCACACGGCGCGCAGGAGGGCATGGCCATCGTGCGCGACGGGGTCTCCGGGGTGCTCCTGGAGGCCGAGAAGGGAGGGGCCAAGTCTCTCCGGCGCCAGCAGTGGGGAGTGCTGTGGGTGCTGGGGCTCGCGGTGTACGGCAGGATGCTGGTGAAGGAGATCGCGGGCGTGGCGGTGAGGTGGCGAAAAGCCGGGCAGGCGGGAACGTCTCCCCTCCCCCCGCTTGTATGGGTTCTGAATTCATCCGTACATGTCTCTCCACCATTCGTCCGTACATGTCTCTCCACCATTCATCCGTACATGTCTCTCCACCCTGTTCCGCTGGTGTGGGTTCCGGATGCATCCTTGCATGTGTCTCCATCCTCGTCCCGCTTGTGTGAGTTGTGGATTCGTCCACCGTTTCAGCGGAAGACGAGACCTACCGAGGATAGAGGACGATTAGGTGGTGTTCTCCCACGCGTTTGCCGTGCGCGTAACCCCCCCTCATCCCTTCCGCGTAAAACTCCCTTGGTATCGGTGTAAACAGGAGCCATCCACGTGGATGATGGCCTTCTGCCGGTGGCACGTCCCCGGGTGCGCCGCCCTGTACGTCGGCCTCCTTCTGTGGTTCATCACCACCTTGCGGAGCCCCCCGCTTATCATGTACGGCACGATGCGTCGTGAGTAGTCCCAAGCTCTTCTGCTGCGTGTCTCATGAGTACGGTCCCTTGCGAAGTCCCCCCCGTCGCGTAAAGTGAGTAGTTCCAGAAGCTACTATGTCGATTGTCATGTGAATACGGACCTGGTCGATCGCCGCACTTGCTAGCTTCTGCTACGTTTTTTGTCTCGCACCGTCGGGCCCCCCAGGGGGTGGTCCGTGGCGACCACCCGCTGGTGTAAAGGGGTCGAGCTCTTCGGTTTTGAAACGTTTGGCGACGCAGGTTGAACCACACCAAGTACCGTGAGAGCCGGTTCTGTGCTCTCGCCTTTTCCCTCCGTCACCGGCAACCTCGTGTACTGGTCGTCCACCTACAAGAATTGAACAGACAGCGTTTTTTTGTCACAAGTTGTGATGATGCTCACCTCGTCATCTCATGTCGCTCACTCGCCCTCGATCTCAAAGACGAACGGATGTTGTCGATGCCTTGTGCAGCTCCAGTTCATCATGTGTTTTGTAGCTTCCGACTTTCCTCGGCATCGTCGGCATCGTCGGCATCGAAGGACACATACCTGACGCACGCGTAGTACTGTAGACCATCGCTGTATATCAATTGCTATTTAGTCTGATTCTTCCACGGCCGATTTTAGTGGCCAAGGCCCTACGTTAGATATATTCACGCATGTACTCTCCTTAAGAGTACAGTTCTGTTGGCTGGAACTAAACGGCGTGGGTGGTACGTGAACAGTTCTTACAACAAGTTTGTCTCCTTGATGTCTTGGTTGTGTCGGCTGGAGCAAAGCGGCCTGGGTTTTACGTTAGGTACGCAGCATTCTCTTACTAACGTCCTCAAAGTGTTCCACCGAGAAATAACCGGCTCGTATCGTGTCGGACAACGCACCGGGTGGAACGATGCAGGTACCAGCTTGGACAGCTGTCTGCGGCGCACTTCGCCTCCTTCCTCGTCCTCCCTTCCGCCCTCGTGTCCTTCGCGGCGAGGGGCGGCCTCTTCTGGTAAGGGCAAGAGATGCCCCAATTGGGATGTGCCTGCGTGAACCATAGTCCACCACCGCCCACTTTTCCATTCTCATCTGCAGACATCCCCGCCCGGTTTCCGGTGCGAAGATAAGATAATCACCCACAAGGATGAAGGATAGAACCTCTGGTTGTTGAACCCCGCCGTCCCCGCCGAGTACAGTGGCAGTTTGTTCATTTGCCTCCTTTCGTAAACTACGTGTGTCGTCTTCCTCCAATGTACCGCAGTCCGTCGGTCCTTTGGTGCTTCGAGTTCACGCCGCAACACGTGATCCTACTTGTTGAAGCTGAAATGAACAAATAGTGTTTTGCTTTGTTTCATTGGCGCCGCGGCTAGGCCTTCCCAGCTGGTACGCATGAAAAGAAAAGAAAAACTATTTGGCCGCCCTCTCGGCCCACTTTTTTCGTTGTGCCACATGCGTGGTCAACTGCAGGTTTGTCATCGCGTCCGCATCGGTGATCATCAACGACATCACGGCCTACATCTGCGGGAGATTGTTCGGGCGAACGCCCCTGACGGTCTTGTCTCCCAAGAAGACGTGGTACGCAGGAAAGGAGGAACGGGCTCTCCTTTGTCGCTCGTTTGGTGACGCGTGTCACGCTCGTTGCTGTTGGATGCCGCTGCTTGTGGTATTTTTGTTTTGGACGGAAACCATCTCTGGTCCATGGTGTGTGAACAGGGTGGCTTTTCTCGTTTGTTTAGTGGACGATGGTGCTGTTGGTGTTGATCTCACTGCTGCGGTTGCTGCTGTTTTACTGCGTGGCCGGGTCGAGGGGATGCCTGCACGTGCTTGCACCCACGGGCGTAGGTATGCACCCCTCCGTACCGTGGCGTTTGATTGTTGGCATGAATCCATGCGACTTTCCCGCAGCCCGCGCACAATAGCATATCCCCTCTGTTAACCTGCTGCCTATGTAGCTTCCTCGTGTTCATATCCGGCGGTGTTGGTTCTACAGGGAGGGGTTTATGGGTGCCGCCCTCTGCACGAGCTTGACCGGGTGGCTGGCGGGGCGCTGGCTCTGCGGTGTTGATTGGCTCACCTCTTCGAGAAATGTTATCCTTGCCGGCCAAGGGGGACCGGTGGACGCGGTGGGTGGTGACGTTACCTGCTCTTTTGTTTCCGCTAGGTATATTTTATTTCATTTTTGGTTTGCTTATGTTTGTACGATTGTCCGTTCAGATAGTGCCTGGTCTATAGGGGTTGATATTCATCGCTTTTGTGCCAAGAAGAGGTGTGAAATTCCATTTTTAATACCGTAAGTGAATGCCATTCCCGGGTCGATTGGTCTTCAACAAGTCTATTCCTGGAGTGCACAAGAACATGTGATGTAGTCGTATGCGCCCAGAACAGATGGGACGACAAAATATTTACAATTTAGTTTTTTATTATTGAAGGTCTCAACTGTTTTCCCCGCTTGTTTCTTCGTTCTGGTGCAACACCGTTTGTTTTGTCTTCTCGTTCGCCAGGGCGACATATTCTTGAAGACAGCGCAGCTGCCCTGGGTAAACATCATGGTTTCCAAAGCTGAGGTTCACGCCTTCTGGTAAGCGATGCCTCTGCTGCTGCCGAAGGGTATATGCCCTCAGAAGCTGCCGGTGCTAGCTAGCGCCAGCGGGGTTTGTGCGACTGCGACAGCCTTTTTTGCGCTACCGGTACTTCGTTAGGCGATTGTTTCGATTCCAGACTCGATGATCTTGTTCTCGGCCTTTCCGCGTCAGGATTGCGCTCATGGCATCCCTCATCGGGCCATTCGGGGGATTTTTCGCGAGCGGCCTCAAGAGGGCCTACGGCGTGAAGGACTTCGGCGACACGTGAGTCTTGTACCGCGCCTTCCCTTCTCAGACTAGGACGAAAGAGCCGACACAGAGCAACAGTCGGAGGCAAAGGCAACCCGTCGCGTGCAGTGCGGGAGCCTTCGAATAGTGCATGGCTGAAATATTCATATCGTGTCATTCTCGGAAATAGCGCCGGGTGTCCGGTGTAGTGACGGTAAATCTGGCAGGCACATACCGGACACTATTTGAGGGGAACCCGTACAAGAAACGGTTGTTCCGCCAGTTCTTGGTTCTGGGATCCTTTGAAATTCGCCGACCCCCTTTCGTGGTTCGGCCGTCGCTGTAGAGCGGAAGGATGTGCTCTGCTGGCATTTCGGCACGAGGGGCCCCACAAAATATGCAACATCGCACAGACACATGTCGTTCGTGCACCGGCGAAGCGGTGTGATGCTTGTGCTGAAAGATGAAATGCTGCCTGTCTTTGGGCAGCGAGAACCGGCAGCCCCAACAAGGCAGGGCGAGGTTTTGCGGTTTGTCGGAACCCTAGCCCGCTCGTCACTTTAAGCTGCTTCCGAGTGAAAATCCCGTATGGGTAATAATGTGCCGTTCAAACCACCAGCGAGGTTGGAAGTAGAGGCATGTATGCGTGGTCAGCGTTAGACAACTTCTGCTGCGGGCTATTGGCGACTGGACACGCACGGTGACAAGATCGCCTAAAACAAATGGCGAGGGCGCTCTTTTCGGATAAGGAGATGGCAGTCGCCACAGCAGATACTCCAAGTACCGGGACTCGCCTCACTTTGTTCATGAACCCGTGCTCGGTGTCACTCGCAGGCGCCATGAAAACCCTGAACACGACAACATGCGTACCACGAAACCGTACCCTGTGCTGTGCCCCCACTCTAGATACAAGTATTCATGAAGGTTTTGCGTGGTTGTTTGTTTGCCAAAATAACAAAAACGTACGAAAAGTGTCTTTCTGTCCTGTTGAACAACTTCGTTTGCGATTGCGCTTTTTTTCTTCTCGGTCGATCAGGATCCCGGGGCATGGTGGGGCAGGAGACCGGTTCGACTGCCAGGTCATGCTTCTGCCGCTCGTTTTCTTCTATCTCAAGGCGTTCGCTCCTGACTTAGATATCTAGGCCTATTTTGTCGTGCTGTCGAGATATGGTTCACGTTGGAGGCGTCGCCTGAAACGGCCTGCCACAACACTCTGTGAGGAATGGGTCCTGACGGCCTTAAGGAAACGGGTTCGCGTCAAACGCGCGGCGTAGCTCAGTCCTTTACGTGGCCAAGTTTGCCACTTGGGCCGCTGGCCTTGAACATGTGTTAGCCTCACGCGGTGTTTTGTCCTGGGCCTGTTGGGCTGCCGAGTACTTCATGCGGTACTCGTGCGCGGCCGGAGGGGGCGGTTTAGTGACAATTTTTTGCCCCCGTGATGATGCCTGGCGTTCTCGCCTAGAGTTTTTCGTTTCTGCACGCTCGCGGGGATCAGCGGTGAAGATTGTACTGCACATAAGCTTCGTGGAGAGGGCAGGAAGGGGCTTCGGCTGGCCCTTCACCATCGTCTCCGTCGGTTATTGTACGGCTCGTTAGTCCACAGTAGTGAGCCATCCAGGATTAGTGTCGCAGACAGAGCCGAGCGTTAGGGGAGGGCGTATTGGTGTGTGGATGGCAATTATTTATGACCGGAGGGAAGTGGCATCTTCTTCCTTGGGTTATTGGTGGAATGCGTTTCTTGTTCTTGAGCTGCGCCATTTTCCAGGCTGAAGGATGTCATCCGAATGGCGACCGTGGCTTCGGAGGCTCGGTTCTGTGTATTATATAGTATTCTTGCCAACATCAATGACAGGTTTTGCACCTGAAAACAGAGAGGGGCAGCGACAGGAATTGGATCGCTACCACTAGTGACAAGGGTACGGCGTAGTGTACGACAAGTAGGCAGGCGACAGGAAGCGTGAGCACCACTTTTCACGCACTTGATCAATAGTGACATGACCAGCAGCAACAGTAGTGAGGCAGGAGTGATTTGCATCTGAGTGGCGACGGTACAACATCTCACATGTCTCCTTCGAAAGAGAGTGCATTCAAAGAAGTCAATGCCGTTGTGATCTCAAGGCATATGTTTCTTGCGGAATCGCCCGCCGTGATGGATGGGTACTCCCGGCGTTCGAGCTCCACCGCGCGCAGGTCCGCCGCCCACATCGCAGCTGCTTCCGACGGCATGGTGGTGATGCTCGAGGACGATGGATGGCGATGCCGGACGGTGGATGATGCGGTAAATGATGATGTGCGGCGAGTCAGAGCAGAACAGGGGGGGCGGGAAAGGCCCACCGGTCAACAACCTCAGTTTCCTTGACCCGATATTTTTCGACAATAGGAAGGTGACATTCATTTCTCCGAAATTCATTGAGCGAGGGAGCTTGATATTCCATGTATTGTGATAAATCAACGCGACGAGTATCGTCGGCATTGTCGGCGTGAAGCTGATTTGTGTTTGGTTTCTTAATTTAGCTGCAGGCTGAGTTACTACGTTGTTGGCAGATCACGAGCCGACGGTGGATGAAAAGAAAAAAAAACAGCTGCTCGGAGAACAACCTTAGAAAAATAAGTTGACCACCGTACACGCTCCCCATTGGTAGTCTACCGCGGACTCTTGCCTGTGGAAGAGAAAGGATGTGGCGCCACATGTAGAGAAATTCGACGGTCACCGTTCGGTGTGGTGGAAAAAAAATATACAGTCATCCGGGCGCTTGCGCAATCAGCCAGTCAGCAACACTAAATACCTTCCTTCTAACCTTGGCCACAGACCAAACTGTGATGAAAAATGCAACCTGAACGGCAATGAACGGAACAAAAAGTATCGAACAACGAAGAACATCTACTATTGGTCGTGATCATAACACCGTTTGGAATTTCTGAACAATCTTGATAATAGACTCTCGCAACGAATGAGTCCATCTGGATCCCTTGATGAGATTCCATTTTCAAAACATATTCAAGAAGATGACAACAACATGAGCGATAGAGACAGCAAGAGGACAAACCGGTAAAGAGGAGACAAATAGCGCGCATGTTCGTAGTACGTTGTCGCACACTTCTGATGTATGCAGCATGGTGACGCATTGGCGTCCGTATGCGGGCTTTCGTCGTGCCATGACTTACTGGCTCTACCGTAGATCACGTCGGCAACTCACTCGGCCCGCACACATTTTCATTACTAAGCCACCTCTGAAATGAATATGATGCCGTGGTTGGTGCCACGGCGACCCTGAGATTCGATTTTTTCCGACATTGTTCGAGAAGCCAAAAAGAACGACCAAGACAGGAAGATACAACAGAAGGCATACCGGTCGACAGGACCGAAACAGCGCCCATGGTCGCGCACTTCTGGCGCAACATGTCGCGATATGTGCGCCATAGGTCGAGATCGACCTTTGAGAAACGGTGGTTCCAATCGACCTTTGAGAAACGGTGGTTCCAGAAGGCTCAAAACCGAGAAACAAACCGATGAGACAAATGATCTGGTAAACTATGGCGACCAACACTTGCTACAACACAACCACTCTACGAAGCGTCGCGTATAAAAGGACACCTTCCACGGGACCACCTCCTGGTGTAGATACATCCGGCCGCTCGCACCAGAGCAGCAAAACCGTGGCTGCCGGCACTACTTATGTATTAGTTAATCGCTGATACAACCTGCCCCCATTCTGAGCACTAAATGCGTCTACCGCCGCTGACCCACTCACCGTACTACATACTACGGCACCATTGGATCTAGCCGTAGTCGTAGCCGCAATTTTCTACGCCGCGATACGTGGAAGCATTCACAACCGAGCACAATGAACTGCCGTCCAAGCAATTTTTCACACGGGTTTCGAAGTTGTAGGCTTCCAGTTCGAGCTGCAGGCAAGAACGACCAGTGCGCACCAACCATCCAACATCAACAGCAGCAGCGCTACTTAGCTCGAGCGCCCCCAAGACGCCATGACTGCAGTACAGCAGCGATAGAAGTGGTACAGCAGTGTGGCGCATGGGAGCTTGTAGGGGAATAGCTCACTAGCTCACTTGCTATGGAGCTGGTGTATCATGAGATTTTTTCTTCAGACAGATAAAAACAGACGGACCGACCCACCAACACAACGACAGTGGCAGCAGCGAACGAAACGTGTAGCCGCGTAGACAGACCCACCGCGAGGGCTCAGGGCTTGAACTGTTCAGCAATGCTGTAGTAGTATCACGCGCGGCACACACAAACAAGCCACCTTGAGGCTGACGGCGAAGAACCCTTGTAGATATGATATTGGAGCAGCACAGAAGATACTGCGGTAGGTTTGGCCGACTCACACCCTGTGGTCGCCCGTTCGTTTTGGGAGGCGTGAAAAAATAATGACGGAACCCGTTTTTTTTCTGCTTGACCTGGCGTGTACAAGGCCCAGTATTGATCGATAAGAGCTGGGGAGAGGAAAGTAATTTCCTCAGTGATGTGGTCTTTGCTTTTGGAAAAAAATCATGCGCATGAACTGGTCGTGGAATGAGTGACAAATGTTTCTTTGTAGTGTGAGTGTTGCAGCACGTAACGTAACGCCTGGCAACTTTCGGCATTCCAAGTGTGGAAGGAAGGAAAGCCGCGAAGAACGAGTAGTGAAAAATGGCAGACAGTCGCCAGGACCTCCAGAGTCAATAATACTGAGACACCTGGCAAAAAAGAGGCCAAAGTACGCGAGAGAGCCAAGTCCGCGACGCCGTGAAAAACAAAAGCTTCACAAAGGTTTGAACAAAAGAACCGTCACCGAGAGAATCGGACGGCGTGATGAGTTTCGGCAATGAATCGACCCGTTCACTCGTTTAGCTTTAGATAAGTGTTCAGCGAGGACTGGGGCAGTTTGTGCGTTCAACATGCAGTCGGTATTGTACTGGTCGGCGTTTCCAAGACGCACCGCAGCAGCAGTTCGTTGCCACACTGCAATCAATCCGTGGCTTTCAAATAAAATAGATTTTGGGCGAGAGGAGGAGCAGAGAAAATAACTTCGAATCATACGCAGTGCAAGAGAGGCTACTGCAATGCTGTGCAAGGCCTTTCTCCCTGTGGCAGATACTAGTTTCGTGCTTGTCTCTCCCACGACCAACGTGGGCGAGCTGATCCCCAAGCGCAACAGCAGACCGCATGTCATAGCGTCACCAGCGGTTGGAGTGAGAGCCTGCCGTGCACGCTGCAGGCTGCATCTACAAATAACCACAGATGCCTGGCTGCGACCAACATTTTTTGGGGGCACGAGGACGTGTGTTTTCTTGTCATCCTATCACACAAGGTAAACACGGACGTAGAAATCTACTGGCTACCGGCGATGGCAGCGGATGCCACGCCGAAAGACGCGGGGAGGGGCAGCGCACGTCAACAAAGGCATCAGGCAGCTACAAGTAGCTCAAGTGACAGCCTTCCCCTTCATTCGTGCGGGCAACAACAGGCGGCCCAAACAATAGCGAAACCACCACAATCCAATGGGAGGGGTCATGTTTCGCATGCCTCAGCGGTTAGGCCACTGAACACACGTCCTCGAGAGGAGGGACGGGGGAAGCTTTTAACTCCCCCCCCCCCCCCCCCAAAAGCTAGTGGCACTACCACTACAACTGATTGGCGTTCCCAACGGACACGGAAGTGGCAGGTGCCGTCGCCGGCGAGGCAGGGTAGCCATCGGCTAGGACGTCCCCCTGTCCAGGATGGGCGCCGTTAACGGTGGCGGCAGCAGCGGCAGGGGCGGCGCCCACGCCTCCTTGCTGTTGGGCATCTCGCGCCCGTTGCTTCTCGGCCGCTCGTTTGACGAACCTGGAAAAAATCGGGCTAGCATTAGATCGACTTGTTGAGGGGTTTGGATGTGCGATCGCATGTGCCTGATGATAAATCAGAAAAAGGACCACGGTGAATCGGTAAACTTCTCCTTCCGCACCAACAGTTAGTTCGCGACGTTGATGAGTTATCTGGGTGTGCTAATCAATTAGCATCGACCGCGCCAGCCGACTGACCATTGAAAAGAGGCCAGTCTCGCGGCGGGAAAAAAGCACGAGCACGCTTGCTCATCAACTGGTTCTGCCGACAGGGGGGGCGTAGGGGCCGGACGACAGCGGTCTCCTTCTGAAGCACGAGGAGAAGTATCTCGGTTTCCCATGCTACTGCAGCCTCTATGTCGGCGTGGGTGTCGTCCCGTTCACGCTTGACGCGAGTCCTTACAACTCCTCCATGTACGTCATCAAACCACGTCTGACCGCATCGGCCAGGGTCACAGAGGAGAGGAGACCGGCCACACAGAAATCGTTTTTCTCCACCTCCCCCTTGGCGTGCTTGACTAAATTTTCGCGAGCAGGGTTCAGGCGCCAGTTATTTCACTCCTTGACCGCGTACTGTAGTCGAATAGTTTCTTCGCGTGCTGCGCACACTCACTCACTTCTTGATCAGGCGGTTACGGTACTGAACCTCCATCTTGCTCGAGTCCAGCACGACATCCCACGCCTCGTCCCGGGTAACCTCGCGGATGGTCCTGTCTCCCAACAGTTCCGGACAGGCTCGCTTGCCCTGGTTGTATTTGGGGACATAGCAATCAAATGACACCTTCAGCGTTAATAATGCTAGGGGTTAGGATTTAGGGTCCACGTTAGGCTTCCTTCCAGGCAGTGCTGGTCCAACGAGCAACAACATCTCAGAAAACGCTACGCAACAGCGGTTCTCCCGTATTGGACCCTTACCCAAACCTAGGGTTTCTTGCTCGTATTTGTTCGTCGACACACGAGCAGCGTCAACTCTCAGGATGGAGGTCATGTTCAACTGCACGCATATGTAAGTCCTGGCCAACGGCAGCACTGTCGTTCCCGATTCTAGCATAGAACACTCAGCCGCCGCGCAAGACTCTGGTGTAGGCATATGACGGGAGTGTGTTCATCGATGACTGATCGTTCATGCCAGTGCACATTGATTCTCACCCGACTCACACCCACGAAACCTACACACAGAAAGAAGCTCGCCAACGAAAAAATCGTACGGGTTTCCGAGTTCGTGTGATCCAAACGGTGTCAGACATCTACGTCACACACACGCACGCAGCGTTCCACAGTCACCATTTCATGGAATTATTTGGGCAGCGGTTTTCGAGCGAAGCTTGACACACAACAACGACAGGCGGCTTTCCCGCCCTTGTTCGCTCTGGACCTCATTTAGGTCGACCTCATGGCCCCAACAACAACAACAACAACAACAACAACAGCAACAACAACAACCCCGACCATCCTCACCAGTCCGATCTCCTGGCACGCTTGCACGAGATCGTAGGCAATCTCGTCCGTGACAGCCGAGTCCTTCCCGTAACCCGGGTGTGATGTCACGAACTTCCGCAGCCAGGCGGCCGTGGTCATGATTTCGCCGGCGGCCCTCTTCCGAAGGTGGTCGAGGTACCTGATTGGACGATGGACCACGGCCATGACAAAAGAAAAAAAAAGAGAGAAAAAAAGAAAAAAAACAGAAAAAAAACAAAACTATTCTTCAAAAGAAAACAATTTATGGCCCTGTTACCCACAGGGGAGATGTCGCAATATCCTGCCCGGGGAGGCGTAGAAATGCAGGTTGGTCAACATCAGACGGCACATAGATTTCATATATTGTTTTTTTCGGTGAGATTTCGCTGGGCTCTTCATTAAAAACACGTCAGCTGTGTCAGCTACTGAGCTTGGGTAACGTCACAACATGCCAGACCTGCTGCTCCACCACCGTTTCTATATTTATCTTGTACCACCCTTGATGACACAGTGCTCTCATGAGATCAATTCAGAGGGACCCCATGCACCACTATGAATGAACTCATTGCTAACCCACCCCGGAAACATATCTGCAGAAGAGATGTGTGTTTCGTGAGACAAAGAAAAAAAATCCGGCCCGCGCGGGTGAAGGGAGAATCAGAATGAACATCAGCAATTTTCGCAGGATTTTTCGTATTGTGGAAACATGTTCCAATCGGGGAAGTTGGGTCAGGGCTAGGACTAGGGAATAGGGCTTGTTTCCCCCCTCCCTGTTCTATTTCCTCCTGAACTTAATAAATTGCGCGCAGGCGGTCCCCGAAAACTCTTGAGAACAGAGAACAACAAGCTTTCCAGGGGCCTTAGGACCAGGATGAGCCCCATCCTTCTCCGCAGGCTGCAGTCAACGCCTTCGAAACAGAGACAACACTGCTGTACAGTCGCGAAGCAGGTGCACATGAACGCAGGTCCCGATTTCTGCACCGTGAAACCAACCGACCTGTGGTTGAGGTATTTTGCCCTGTTACCCTGGCTTCGTTGCTGTTTCACACGGCCCGGGCCGTGCTGCAGCATTGTTTCGGTTCCGTGGCACGATTTCACAGTGTCGCCACGGACCGTTTCTGGGGGAACAGAGCTTTCATTCTCGTGAAAACACCTTAACCGCCACGGGCGTGTCATACAAGTACTTGTATATTTAGTAGAGAAAAAAAACATAACGGGCATTTACTGGTGGAACAGTTAGAATGAGACAAATACCAATGCAAGTACAAACAGCAACAGCAACAAAAACCACAACCACCAACCAAATTAGACGAAACTCACAACTCAACGTCCTTGATCGTGGAGCTGTCGGCGTTGATATACTCCAGGTAGGCGTGCACCAGAGGGATCAACCCCGGGTAATCACCCTGGGGCAGAACATTAGCACGTTAGCACGTTGGAGGGCACAAAAATCAGACACGATATTGGCATGTTAGGACGTTGGAAGGCACACGCATCGGACATGATATTAAATCGTGAGTTAGCACGTTCGAAGACGCACGATTTCGAAAGGTGCAAGGCAATGCAGAGGTCGAGCCAGGGGTGTTGGGACAGACAAAGAGCGAGAGAAATAGACGGACAGACAGACCGACAGAGACAAACCAAAGCGAGATAAAACGCAACAGAGAGGGCGGCCAAAAAGGAGAGAACCTATCATGGTGAAACGCCTTCCCTCGAACAAACTAGCCAATCCTCCCGACACCCAAAAACAGAAAACCCGAAAAACACGTGCCTTTCCCCAGCCACGGGATATATTCAACTTGACTGCGGCTACCAGGCATGGGGGAACAAAAATCTCCTCGAACCCGCCTAACGGTCGTCAGATGTTCTTCGAGAAAACTGCCGCACGGGGAGGCATGCTTTCCCCCCCGGCCGGCGTCCGATGGGAAAGGGATAGAGGAGCCGAAAACTACTCGCTTAAAGCCCCGTGGGCAGAGCAAAGCTCCCAAAACGTTCATCGGCAACTCGGGAGCGACCAAACAGCACAGAAGCGAACATCCTACAAGGACTACCATCAACAGCCATGATCAAGAAATATAACCGCACCAATACGGTGTGGCCACGGGATGGAGTAAACGGCACACGTGGTGTGAGCGCCGGTATAATGAAGTCAAGGCGAAAAAACAAAAAAAAAAACGTCGCCCCACCTTCCCCTCCAGGATCTGGAGCACGGTCATCTCTTCGAGCCCGCTCTGCGGGTCGTTGTCGCACGGGCTGTAGATCTCCCCCTCCTCCCCGCCCTCCGGGGACTGCGCGTAGTCAATGTTGCTGCGGAAGAAGAACTTGCCCTTCGTCGCTGCGTCTTTTTCGTGCGCGCGCCTCATATTTTCGTCCACCTTGGGGGGGGAGGTTGCCAAGCAAGATAGAAAACACGCCGTCGACGGACCAATGAACAGACGTCAGCAGTGTCATTGCGGGAAAAGGCAAGGTTCTCGGAAGCGGCGTATTCATGTTTTTGCATGCGTTAGCGACTGAACCACCGATGGGGGGGGGGGGGTACTCATAGTCGTGCATGCCGTAGTCGTTTGACCATTGACCTCGCATCCCTACAAAGCCGGGACGGAGCACGCCGGGTTCTCACCGGACCAGGCTCTCACATCACCAAGCGCGAAGCGCCGTGAGGTATTCGGCGAGTCGCATGAAGGGTGAGCTGCATCCTGCTAAGGGTGTTCGGCATCTTGTGCTTACTTCCTTGCGTACGGATGACAGCTGCGTATGACTTAATTTATTTTCTGCTGCTTTCACTTCCAGAGACAGTTGGAAGCACTGTGTAACTGCCTCGAGGATGCTTGACCATTTTAACACAACGTGGTGCGATCATCCCCCGTTGCGCGGAGCGAGGGTTCTCCACCCCGCACAACATGATCTACTCGACCACCATTATGGTTACCGCCAAAAAAAACAAAACGAGGTAAAAAAAAAACAAAACGGTAACCTTGGTTGCCGAGTTCACGAAGTGAATTGGCTTGTTTTACAACGTCGTTGCCAAGCGACGAAAACCCAACCCGGATGGCAAACACCGGGGGGCGGGGCGTGGGGGGGGGGGGGGGGGGGGTTT